TGTGAACCGTATTTTAGCAATGCTAAATTATTAACCAACTTCATTATATTAAGGTGTTGTTTGTGATTTACACATTACTACAATAAAATACGTTTTATTTTAGAGATTAATTGTTTTGAATATGTAAACAGACCCTGTAACTGCCAGGTGTTGCTAAGGGTTGCACGGCTAACTAAACTAAAAGATTAAGCTAACATTAAAGGGGCCCTAATATGCTAATTGTCAGGGTTCATATTTGTATTTTTTGCCTTTACTGTGACATGTTTATCTGCTTTAACCGGTCTTTATTTTTCTCATACTGCCTGTGCTGCAGCACCTCTTCTCCCCCTCTGTCTGAAACCAGAGCTCAGTCCGTCTGATTGGTTAGCTGGCCGGCTCTGTTGTGATTAGTCAACCACTTAGAAATGTCCCACCCCTTAGCCTATCACATACAATTTGACTGTTTTTAAGTGTTACATAGTGATGTCACTATGTTACAGAAGCTAAGGCGGGGGTTGAGAGTGTGGGAGAGAAACTTTAGGATTTTAGCCTTTAAAGACATTAACACGCACAAAGATGTATAAAACGAAAAACAAGGTCAACACATCTTATTAGGTCATAATGAAATTTGACACTAAACATTGAATCTGACAACTGATACTCAACCATGAGTAAAACGTGCATTTGTTAGGGAAACACATACTGTAGATCTGTTTAGTATTGGTCTGTGTTTAATAGTGTTTTACATTTAACACCTTTATTATTCACATTTCCTCTTTCTGTGTCTCTTTCTGCAATTCATTTAACATTGTTTTCAATTAATTCCATTCAAGGGAATGTGCTGTTACACCAACCAGCTTCTGTTCAAACTTGACCCCGATGGTTATTTTGTAACTGTGTGTGTGTCAACATAGTATGTCAACACTTTCTGAAGAAGTCGTCCACCAAGCTCTTCCTCTCACATCTGCTTTATCTGTCTTCCCTAGAATAATCTGTGGCTGGGTTTAGTTTGTGAACCACTGCAACATATATTAACAACTTGCATCAGAAAGTAGATTGTTTTTGTTTTAAAGTAGTTGGACAGATGTAATGCTGCAGTGAGTGTGCAGTGAGTGTGCAGTGTGTGGGTTTGTGTGTGAGGAAGCAGTGTGGTTGTCGCATCAGAGATGTTAGAGCTGAGACACTTCCTCGTCCTTTTTTACTCTCATCACGGACCTGCAGAGAAGATCAACGGCTCACAAACAAGACTGACCTCACATTTTACACACTGACTTCACATTGTCTTTTATCACTATTAAAGTAGTTGACAAAGTGTATGTGTGACATTAAGAAGAACTGTTGGAATTTAAAAGTCTGGTGAGTATTTCCATTTTATTTCTGAAAACTATATTTAAGGTGATTAAAAGCTACTTAGGTTCAAATGTGTCAATATTTTCCCTCAAGGCTCAAACTAATAGTGTTGAATTATTTCAGAAGTAATGATCTTTATTCTGCAAATCTACTTTTTACGAGTTCAGGTGATAATCATCTTGTTATGTAATGTCATTCGGATCTTTCTCTTAATTGTCTCAGTAATTATATAGAGGGGAAAACGCCTAAAACAAGATCACATCATTTTTAAATGTGATGTCAGTCAGAAGATGAGTTATCTGTTAAAATTACAGTTATAAACACAATTGTTAATGAGCTATCGCTAACACAGATCAAATAAATATAAGGCACGAGAAAGCTGTCAAGGAAAGGACATATAACTTGTTTAGTTTGACTGTACACTTCATAATGTTTGTTCAATAATCAACACCAGTTTAACTCTTATCCTTCTGAACTGAACGGTAAAGTTCTTTATGGCTGAATGTATCGTATAAAATGTATTTGAGCTTGTTATTGAATTAATGCCATCTCATCAGCTTTTATTTAGGACATATATTTTCAACATAAAATGGTTGATGTTTTTAAATGTATTTTGGATTTAAACAAACAAGTAAGTTGTACGTAAGAACACGCACTGCAAACTAACAATTCTTTACTTTGCATACAAAACACTTTTTAGTAAAAAGAAAGTTATGAGATAAATGCTCGTGAAAATGCTTCTACAGTATAACGTTTTTTGCTTAAATCCCCTTACAAAAAGCAGCGTGCCCTTTGTTGACCCTCATCTTGATTCACAAGTCCATTGGTTGTAAACATTTTGCATCTAAAATTCAGATGGTTTAATATAAACAATTGTAAAAGATCCATCATAACGGCTATCATTTCGCAAGAAAGCTAAGAGTGAAAAACCCAAAACATCAACATGGATCCTACCCTATTATTTTATTTTAGGAGTCTCTTGAACTATATATATATAAATAAATGTGTTAAAGCTAGCTCCTACTTGAGCAGCTGCAAAAGTAAAATGGTTCTTATACGTTCAGGGATCACCAACTACATTTGTCCAAGGGCCAAAATGTGTCCAATAGACACTATCGCGGGCCAGCGATTTTTATATAGCCCAGAAAGGGGGGGGGGGGGGTGTTTGCTAGTGGAGCACGCTCAGGTAGTGTGGACCGCATAAAGCTTAGCAGACTCTTCACGCTAACGAAGGATCACTTCTAGGCAGGGTTGGGAGGGTTACTTTGTAAATGTAATCAGTTACTGAATACATACTCTGAAAGTAATCAGAATACAGTTACGTTTTCAGATTACTTTTAGAATACTTTATTTTTCCATAACAGATGGGTATGTTTTGGTGCACAGGAGACACTTATTTTACTGTTTTAATGGCTTATCAAGAACTCAAACACAACATCTTGGCGTCATTCTGGACAGCTCCCTCTCATCTGCACCCCACATCAAAAACATCACCCGGATTGCATTCTTTGTACTGTCTTAAAACCTTTCCTTGGAATATGTTATGAATTGTAAGGTGTCCTTGGGTGCTTTGAAAGGCGCCCCTAAATAGAATGAATTATCATTATTATTATCTGAAACGATGTAATAACTTTTTCCAGTCACTTGCCCCATGCATTCAGCAGCAGCAGGCCATTCACTTTGATTTGATCCCGTTATGAAATGTCATAATTTCGACAATAAATAAATGCTACATAAACGTTATCTTGCACATTTTATCCAACCATCTCCGTTTCTAACTTTCAATATATTTTTAAGAGATCTCTCTCTCATCTGCGTGCGGGGGCGGGGCCTCACAGACGCTGCATCTCTCTCTCGCTCACAGACATGCTGCAGCGCTGTGCAGTGTGCACACAGTTCTGCCGGTAATGAATATTACATTTTGTGAGGAAACTTTTCCACCAATAATTCCAATAAGTATTCCAAAATGTATTCACTTCAGGTTTACGAAAGTAACTGTAATCAGATTACTCGTTTTTCAAATGTAACGCCAGCTGAATACAGTTAGCCTACTTGATTTTTGTATTCTGATTACGTAACGCCGTTACATATATTCCGTTACAACCCAACCCTGCTTAGGCTACTGTCCCGCAGCTCCTGCCTCTCTGTTGGACTCTGTCGCAGCGGGCCTACTGCTGTGGTGCGGAGCGCACAAAGCAGACTCTTCACAACGAAGGATCACGTCTTATTCAAGGCAGGGAAGGTTTCGCAGTACGCAGTCTACTGTCCTGCAGCTGCTGCCTCTCTGTTGGACTCCGGTACTGCACCTTACTCACGAGACGTTGTACAAAAAAAATATGGGTGGGGGGCGAACGCAGTAACCACTCCGCCAACGCCACAGTCACCCCCGTCGTGCGGGCCGGATGAGAATGTCTGGCGGGCCGGATGAGGCCCGCGGGCCGCCAGTTGGTGGTCACTGCGAGTTCTAATGATCTAAATATCATCATATAAAATGTATTATGTGATAAAAAGTCAACTAATGGTACAGTTTTTTAAACTATATTTAGCTGATGATGCTTTCACTTCAACTCTATGCAGGACTTTTACTTGTATGGGAGTATTTTGACATTGTTGTATTGGTACTTTTACTAAAGTGTAATATCTGAGTGCCGTTGCAGACAACCGGCTTCGAGGTGTAACATACAATGAACCGTCCCGTAGATAATGAAATGAAATTGATTCAACATGGCTGGTATTATGATACAAACTTTATAATCCAGTCATGTTACAGTAGGGTCATTTGAAACAAGTCTTATTCATTTGTTGGAGCATTTCAACAGATCCCTCTGTCTCGCCAATCCTCTTTAGTAATCTTATCATTTATGATCGTGCCAGCCGTTTATTTTCAGAGAATAGCTACCGTAGAAGCTGTGACCATTATTTTGTAAAAGCGATTTTGTCCTCGTTTAGTGATGCTTTACTGTTATCCAGGAGAAAATACAAACATTTACAGCAGGTTTTTTTTAAATTATTCAAGTCCTCTCATTTATCATTTAACTATTTCAAAAATACTTTTAGGTAACAGTTTTTTTAACACCTCACTTTCCCTAACAGCTTCACCTTTGAGTGCTAGCACTGTGTCATGAAATGTGTTGCAGTTAAGAGATATATTTGCAATTCTGATAAATGTAGTTCTAAGTGTCAGTTTCATTTAGATTTGCTCGCTTTCACCTGCAGTGTTACCGTAATGTAGCTTAACACATGCGAGAAACATCTCTGCAGTGGACTTTAATATCAAGTAATCTACTGCTGATCAAAAACATATGACAGGCTAACCGGAGTTTGTCAAGCAGAAATTAAAAGACCAAAAAATAAGAAAATGAATTATATTGGTAGATATGACAAATCATCCTTAGGGGCTCCTGGTAAACTGGGCTAGAGGGAACAATCATTAGACCAAAAACATCACCTCGTCTAGAGCATCTCTGTGCAAAACAACATCCGGCACGAGACCTTGAAAACATCTGTAATGAGAAAACATTTCTCGTTACACTTAATATAGGGCCTTGTATTGTCCTGCCATTTAAACACAAAAATGTAATTTGATATCATTTGTAACATCAACATGTTAACCTAGTAACAAATCATGACATAACATGTTACAACAAAAAATGTTTTGACGTTTGATTATTTTTTGTTAAATGGTATACTGTATGTTAATGCAGAGTTTACACAGATGCAGGAAACAAACCATTGTATACAGTTCTGCTGCCCTCTTTTGGGCAATACCAAAAGTATATCGAGTGGTACATACATAGGAACTAATGCTGCACAGTGTTACACATTTCTTCTGGTTTATTCTTCATAAAATACAAATATGTATTAGGTCAGATTTAGATGCGAAGAAGTTTCTGGTCTGTGTGAAAATGTAGGGTGTACCATTATATTAAATCAATAATACATTCAATCGTTACACTTGACTGTCGTAACTAACATTGGCATTGTATTTCTTAACCTCTCTAGAAGACTGATTTTAGGTCTTGAGCGGTTCTTCCTCCTTATTGTGTGATGCCTCGTTCTTTCTTGGTAAAGCGGGGAGGGCTTCACTACCTTGTAAAAAAGACGGGGGCCTGGGACACACCCCTGGAGTTCTCCACACCAGGAAGTCCCGATGGTAGCACAGTGCCCATCGCTTTGCTGCAGCAGCCTGCAGACAGCCACTCTAAAGGAAGTGACCTTCAGCCATTCAGCCCCATAATTTATGGTGGGTGAAATTTGACTTAAAAAGCACAATACTTTTTGGTAAGCAGCCTGTTTGGGATCCAGAATAAATATTTTTGTATTTAAATATTGTCGGACTATTGCGTAAGCCGTTATTAAATTAACTGAGTTTAACTTATTCTTTTCAATTTGACAAAAGTGCATCAATTCAAAGTTTCAGAATATCAGAATAAGAAGTTCAGTCCACTTACCTGTCTGTCTTTGTTCTCAGACCGTAGATCTGCTCAGTCCTGCAGTCCTTTTAGTCCTGTGGAGAAAGTCGAGTCTTGCCCTCACACACCAGCGGTCTGGTCCAGGCCTCATGTACGCTCAGGATATCCAGACAAACTGTCTGTGGGACTGGGATGTTTGACCCAGCACCCTCACATCCTGAGGGAGTGCTTGAAGATCAGTGCCGGGAGACAAGCGTGTCCAATCTGTAGCAAAGTAGGACATCCCTCTGTTTCATTTGAGACATTTAAAGTAGACCTAGCTTGTGTTAACTGATAGATTGATTTTGAACAGGACGTGGTTGAAAGTGATGAAGTTATACTGGCCGTGCAAGAAAATACATTTAAGTTAATTTGACATGTTTTTTACCTAACGGTAGTAAGTAGGACCGAGTCTTTCTATACAAATGCACAAGAAAAAAAGACAGCACAAGGTCAAAGGTCATAACAACTTTTTCAAATTTGAACTGGTTTCCCACCTTCTACTCTCCTGAAGTCTCACTTTCATTTAATTGTATTCATTTTCTCTTTGCAGATATTATCATGTCTGTCAAGTTTGAAGACTCACATATGCAAGAGTCATGGCAGCAGCTCATCAGCACACATCAAGTCCAGCAGGACAGATAGTGAGCGGTTACCATGCAGGGGCAAGGTCAGTAAATAATCGTACTATCTTCCACTAAAATAATCAAATTCATGCACATATGGGGCCCATCACTCCTGAATCCTTAAACACAGTGCCTGTTGTTTCAGGAGAGGACGTTTGGCTGTACAGTGTGTGGGAAAGTGTTCAAGCGCTCCTCCACCCTCTCCACTCACCTCCTCATACATTCAGACATCCGGCCGTACCCCTGCCAGTACTGCGGCAAAAGGTTCCACCAGAAGTCCGACATGAAGAAACACACCTTCATACACACCGGTGGGTTTGTGTCACGTCTTTATGTGTTTAATAGACTGAGATAACTAATATTGAATCATTATTATTAATATTTCATGTTCCATACATCACTTATATTCATTTCTAAGACTTAAATTAGCCCGAGAACCACCAGGTGTCCACATAGCATTTTTTTTCTAGAATATCTCGCCAACACATCATCCCTATTAATGCTATTGACCAAAAAGCAAGCATAGCACTTTTGCTTTATTTAACCATTTTTTATGATATAATCCCCATAGATGTGTATACAAATTGTAATTTAGTTTAAACTTATCAATTTAATAATTATTTGTATTTATTTATGAAGTCTTGATGTTTTAAAAAAATAAAAATAAAGATTTTCGTACTCAGTTTTTCATTCACGTAAAAAAACTGCTTTAGGATTTAGGATTTTAGGCCTTCCAAATGGCATGTATCATTGTTTTGTTTGACTTATATTATATTAAGAATACAGTTTTGTATGTGTGAGAAATTACATGTTTGGACAAACTAAATTAGTAAATAAATAGTCATTTAAAAAAAGGAAATGTATTACTGCAAAAAGGAAAATGTGAACACCACTACTATACATGTATATGTGTAAATGCTATATGCTGGACAAAAGCTCTGAACAGTGTCTCATGTATGAATATTTAAACATCCTATGTATTGAAATAACTTGCTCTGTTTGTGTGCCAGGTGAGAAGCCCCATGTGTGTCAGATATGTGGGAAGGCCTTCAGCCAGAGCTCCAACCTCATCACCCACAGCCGTAAACACAGGGACGAGCGGCCCTACCGCTGTCCTCGCTGCCTCTACGGCTTCCAGCACAAAGTGGACCTCCGGCAGCACCAGGAGCACCACTGCAACTACCGCTGACCCTGACCCATCCTCAGCCTTTTTTTTTAACGAAACCAGCGACATCACATTCAGGACAGAAAACGTACAACTCTTTTCCAGAAAAAAAAACTACTCTGAGTTTCTCTCATATTAAATACAGTGTTTACTTTTGAATTATGTTTATTTAGTTTTGGCAAATAACACAGCAGGGTTTTCATTCATCATTTACTTAATTTTTTCTTGTGATGAACAGCTTTTAAAAAGGCTTTAATAGTCCCTTTTTTCTTTGTACCAATGAGCTCTGGCAACAACATCATTTGAGTAGTCTCCATGTGTTGTGTAGTAATCCACAGCTTTATAGTTCTTGACTTTACCATCCCCTACATTGTAGGCTGCAAACAAACGTAATTAAAAGTTTGAACAGAGTTGGTGCACTACGGTCTACTGATTCAGTAAAACAAACCTTTCAGCTGCTGCTCCCTGCTCCAGTTAGGAAATTTGTTCTGGATTATTTTAATAAAATCAACCAATATTTCGGTGGCCTGGCTGAGGTGTTCCTCGCTGTCCCAATCACCCTCTGGATCGTGTGCACCTCCATCTGGATTAACATCAACCTATAGAAATGGGATAAAACACATGTTGTTTTGCCACTGTGTTGATTTTAGAACTGTACTTTTTCATTCTGTCTGCATCAGCCTGTGCCATGTCACGTGATACAGACCTTCCACCTAATGGATATCAAACCAAGAACAGGAATTTGGCCTTTTTGCAACAAACTTTCATCTATCATTGTCAAAATATTGAAGTAGTTGTACTGTAGATATCAAATCAGCTCCTGTGTTTCTACACTGCAGAGTGTACCTTTGCTGTCGTTCCCATAATCCGCTCGAGCTGTTTCCCTTGAGGCACCATCTGTTTCAACTCTCATGATGTCGCCATTCCCTCCAAATATGTAGCCTATTACTGCAGATTAGTTTTCATTAACACACCTAGAAAGCATGAGGAGCTCAGGAAAATGTACTGATAGAAAACAGACAACATGGAATCAAAAAGGATCTTGAGTAAAGGTATGTTTTAAATTTGAATCTCAGCCTACACGTAGCGCAGCAAAATATATAATGTATGTAGACTGTTATTTGTCTCATCAGCAGAAGAGTAAAACAAAACAAGCTCTTACCATTTCCCATGTTTCTCCTTTATTCGTCCATTTGAGTTTATTCTAGGCTTTGATTTATAAAGCCTGGATACTTGGAAAGGAATAAAGGGAAAACAAATTACTAGAAAATAAGTTAAATAATGAGTGCCAATATCTAACAATAATGGCCAATAACTTCAAGAGAAATGTTCTAATGACGTGACATCGCTCTCACTTTGAAAGCAGTTTGCTTAAAATGTAAGTAATGGCTCTGAATACAATCGTATACTAATAGCAGTGCATTTAAGTAGGCCTTATTTACAGACTACAGTGTATACTACTTTTTTTCCTTTTTCAGCTAATTATAACTCATCTGTAGAAGGCTGCAAAGTGTGGGATCCTGAGGGGACAAACCGTCATTGTCTGCCACTAGGGGTCTCTAAATCAAAACTATAATACACCGTCTATTGTCCACAGCTTCCTTCATTGTTCATCATTCTAGGGTTTTGTTTTACTGGGAGTCAAAGTATTTATCTGCAGATGTCTCCTGCTGTCTAAAACAAACGGATCCGGTGAGTAAACCTAAATAAATCAGTATTGTGTGGTGACACGTTATTGGACATAATTCACCTTGCTTATTGTGTTGCCACACGGACCCTTTAGTGGGGAACACCTGTAGCTTTAGCTGCCATTCCTGCTAGCTCATCAGGCAGAGCAGTGCATGTGTTAACCTCTCTGAAAGTAATGGATAATAAAGATTGGAACTCCATTCTTAATACACCGCCTCCGACTGTCTTTTCACGGCACTACACTGGTGACCCTGACTTTTCCGAGAAAGTTTCCGGAAAATTAACGAACATGGCTGAGCGCGATGTTTTCATAAAGCTGCCGGAATTCTGGGAGCACGCCGCGGAGGCATGGTTCGCACACGTGGAGGCACATTTCGCCTGCCGACAGGTCCGTGACGGGGACCTAAAATACTACCATGTGGTAGCAGCGCTGGGGAGCTCCACGTCGTCCAGGTTGGTGGGATTCATCGCAGCCCCCCCACATCATGGCAAATATGAGGCGATTAAGGCCCTTCTCCTTAAGACATTTAGCTTATCTGCTAAGGAAGGAGAGGGCCCGCCAGATACTTGACATTCAAGGCCTAGGAGACAGCAAGCCATCCCAGCTAATGGAGAAAATGCTAAATCTGCTAGGGGGGGAAGATCCCCGGATTTTATTCACGGAGATTTTCCTGCGTCACTTGCCTCCCCGGGTACAGACGGCGCTGGCCAACACGCCTGTCACGGAGCCCCGTGCTTTGGCTGAGGAAGCGGATCGTTTTTTGCAGAGACGTTAGCCGCGACGCTCAGCGGCCCACCGGCAGTCAAGAAAGCGTGGCGGAGGCCGGACACGGCTGTGGCTAGCCGGCGTGGAGACGCCGGAGAGTGCGTTTACCACGCACGTTTCGGGACAAGGGCGAAGAGATGCATCGCTCCGTGCAGCTACAAACCCCCGGGAAACGGAGGGGCCGGCGCTCAGTAGTGGCTCTGAGCGTCGGCGGCACGTGCAGGCTCCTCTTCGTCAGCGACAGCGTTTCGGGGAGCTTGTTTCTGTGTGACACGGGCGCTCAACGGAGCGTAGTTCCAGCGTCGAGTGAAGACGTCGCCCGTGGGGGGCACGGACCGCGATTGACGACGGCTAACGGCAGTCCCATTCGCACGTACGGCGTGAGGCCTATGTGTTTGTGCATCGGAGGACAGCGTTTCAGCTGGGATTTTGTGACAGCGGACATTTCTTTTCCCCTCCTCGGAGTGGATTTTTTGTGTGCGCATGGACTCTTAGTGGACGTTAAGAATAGGCGTTTGGTTGATGCCTTAACGTTTTCTTCCCTCGTGTGCATACTTGGCAGCGCAGCGTACGACGGGCTGTCAGGCTCGCTGTCAGGTGCAGACACGTTTCTCAGACTGTTGGTCGAGTTTCCAGACCTGTCGCTACCCACCTTCTCTGCGCTTACCACTAAGCATGGCGTGGAGCACCACGTCACTACCGGGGGGCCTCCTGTCTACGTCAGGGCCCAGCGTTTGAACCCTTCTAAGCTGGCTGTAGCGAGGGCGGAGTTCGCAACCATGGAGCGCCTGGGCATTGTCCGCCACTCCGACAGTCCTTGGGCTTCCCCCCTGCACGTCGTTCCCAAATCGAACGGCGGGTTCCGCCCGTGCGGGGATTACCGCTGACTCAACGACGCCACTACGCCTGACCGCTATCCGGTGCCGCACATTCAGGACTTTTCGGCGCATCTGGCCGGTACGGGGGTGTTTTCCAAGGTGGACCTGGTGCGTGGATACCACCAGGTGCCCATGCACCCCCTGGACATTCCCAAGACAGCAGTGATAACGCCTTTTGGACTTTTTGAGTTCCTGCGGATGCCTTTTGGACTCAAGAATGCCGCTCAGACGTTCCAGCGCCTGATGGATTCGGTGCTGCGGGACCTGCCGTTTGTGTTTGTTTACCTCGACGACATACTCGTCGCCAGCGCTTCAGTGCAGGAGCACCTGTCCCACCTCCGAGCCCTTTTCACACGGCTCAACGAACACGGATTAATCATCAATCCTGCAAAGTGCCAGTTCGGGGTGTCGGACATCGATTTCCTGGGGCACCGCGTCACCAAGGGCGGTGCGACACCTCTGCCAGCGAAGGTGGAGGCTGTTGCGGCGTTTCCTCGCCCGCTCACAGCCCGGTCGCTCCGTGAGTTTCTGGGGATGGTGACTTTCTACCACCGTTTCATCGCCCGGGCCGCACACATCATGCGGTCGCTGTATGAAGCGTTGAAAGGCAAGACCCCCGTCCAGGAGATCGACTGGACAGCAGAGGCGGACGGCGCTTTTGCTGAGGTCAAGACCGCGTTGGCTCAGGCGGCTTTGCTGGCACACCCATCATCTACGGCTCCCATCTCCATCACCACGGACGCGTCAGACTACGCGGTCGGCGCAGTGCAAGAGCAGTGGGTGGAGGGCGCTTGGCAGCCGCTCGCCTTTTTCAGCCGCCAGCTGACGCCTAGAGAACGCAAATACAGCGCGTTTGACCGGGAGCGCCTCTGACTTTATTTGGCCGTGCGGCACTTCCGTTTCATGCTGGAAGGCCGTGAATTTACGGCGTTTGTCGACCACAAGCCGCTCACCTTCGCCATGTCAAAAATGGCGGAGCCTTGGTCGGCACGTCAGCAGCGGCAGCTGTCCTACATATCGGAGTTCACTACGGACATTAAGCACGTGGCTGGCAAGTCGAACCTGGTTGCTGATTGCCTCTCCAGGGTCGTCATCGGTGCCTTCCAGTTGGGCCTGGACTATACTCGCATGGCGGCAGACCAGGTCACAGATCCCGGCGTCCAGGCCCTGAAGGTGGAGAGCGCGGGGCTGCGCTTGGAGGACGTGGTGTTCGGCGACGCGGGCATTACTCTCCTGTGTGACGTCTCTACGGGCCTGGCGCGGCCTGTCGTCCCTGCCAGCTGGAGGCGTCCTGTGTTCGAGGCTGTGCACGGCCTGTCACACCCCGGCGTTAAACCTTCGGTGCGTTTGGTAGCGGCGAAGTTCGTTTGGCAAGGACTGAAAAGGGACGTGAGGACTTGGGCCAGGGAGTGCGTGGCTTGTCATCGCGCTAAGGTGCACCGCCACACGAAGGCCCCGTTGGAGCGTTTCCTGGTGCCTGAGAGGAGGTTTGATCACGTCAACATTGACCTGGTTGGTCCGTTGCCTTCCTCTCAGGGGTTTTCCTACCTCCTCACCATGGTGGACAGAACGACCCGTTGGCCGGAGGCGGTTCCGCTCGTTTCGACATCAGCCGCAGACGTTGCCCGGGCCTTCATTGCAACGTGGGTGTGTCGTTTTGGCACCCCGTCAGACATTTCCTCAGACAGGGGCTCTCAGTTCACGTCCGAGCTCTGGAACACTGTGGCAGGCGGTTTGGGGGTTAAGCTGCACAGGACTACCGCTTACCACCCTCAGGCTAACGGCCTCTGCGAGCGCTTTCATCGCTCCATGAAGGCGGCCCTCAAGGCCGGCCTTACGGACGGTAACTGGGTCGACAAGCTGCCCTGGGTGATGCTGGGCCTGAGGACCGCACCTAAGGAAGATCTTTAGTGTTCTACAGCGGAGATGGTCTACGGTCAGCCGCTGAGAGTTCCGGGGGATTTCCTCCCAAATGCATCGGCTCCATGGTCGGCGTCGGCCCAGCGGGCTTTCCTGCGTGACGCCGCTGAGGCCTTTGCTCCGATCCCTACTACTCAGCACGGTACTCAGGTGTCCCAGGTTCCCGCAGAGCTCCGCTCGGCGGAGCACGTGTTCATCCGGCACGATGCGCACAGAGGCCCCCTGCAGCCCCCTTATGATGGGCCTTTCCGGGTCTTGGAGCACGGGGACAAGCACCTGGTGGTCGACCTGGGTGGCAAGGCCGAGCACGTCTCGGTGGACCGGGTGAAGGCTGCTCACCTGGACTTGGACCAGCCTGTGGTCAGAGATGGGGTCGTTACTAAAAAAAAGTAATATATTACATATTACATATTACTTTAAAAAAAAGTAATATATTACACTACTTCGTTACTCTCTACATAAAGTAACTCGTTACTTTACTCGTTACTTTACTCGTTACTTTACTCGCAGGGCCGACCCGCCCCTCCCTACAGGCAGATCACGCAGACTGCGGTGCACCTACAGTGTGCGCGCCACAGTTTTGCCTCTGCGAGACTCCACTTGCACCCCCAATTACTATTGCATTAAGGAAGACATAACACAAGTCTTTCTTTTTATATGCTCTCAAATAGGCTACCAGCCACACAACAAGCTAACAGTCTGTGAAACGTCAAGACACTAATTAATGAAACCAGTTCAAGACGCATTATTCTTATCATTCTTTATGAGCGCATAACGGTAAGGTATCTAATTACTTATTTATTTAGTATTCCATAACTTAGTAACAGAGATGGTCAAACTAAAGTGGTAGAGACATGGCAGAATTCCTACAATGAAGCGGGACATTGAACTGTTCACCCGTGAGAGGGCGATC